TCACCTAGGGAGGCCTCATTTCCGTGGCTCTACTGAAAACATTTTCATCCTTCCTGCGGAGCCCAGACAGGCAACAGCCTGGGTAGTGCCCCATCTCATACAGAGGTCCAACCAGCCACGTGCTGAGCCCTCTTTACGATGGTCTTTAACCAGGTCCAGGGGCTGGATTCATATTTCATTTATTTATCCCGCCCTTACTATACAACCCTGGCCAAGCAACTTCACATCTCTAGGCATCAGTCTCGCTTTCTCTAAAGGGATCTTAATAAAATTTACTTCATGGGGTTGTTGTGGGGAGTCACTGAGAACCACAGGTAAGATTCTTGTTGATTTCAGTTAACTTAACTTGCTCACACCCCAAGTCTTCCTGTTGGCTTTCTAGTGATCCAACACAGAAATTCACCTTTCCAAGGGACCACATTCTATTTATCACTATATCCACAGCACCTGGCGTGGGATGGGGCGACAGGCCCTCAGGGCATGTTAGAAGAGTGAATCAGAATTGAATTAATCAGGGATGGGGCAAGACTTCCCAGCAGTAGAGATGTGACCAGCGAGGACACCGCGGGCCTGAAGGCAGAAAGTGAACGAACATGGCAAAGACCCAAGACATACCAAAACTGCAATCTGTCAAAATATTGGTGGTTGTTTTCAGGTCCAGAGTTTAAATCAATCAAGAATTTATTTAAATACATTAAAGTCGAACACTGCAACTAGGTCAAGGAGCATGTTCAATTTCCTACAGTCGAACGGTATTCCAATAATGTTCTCACCACCCTCCTGACAGGTCTGCTTCCCTCAGAGACTTGCCCTCCTCCGTTCCACGCCCAACACCACAGTCAGCATTTAAATATCTTCTCATTTAAATATCTGTTTTTCCCACTGGACTCAAACGTCCGTGTGGGTATGAATTTGTGTCCCTTTTGCTTATATCCCCAGTGGCTGTCATGGTGCAGGCACAGGTAAAGTGATCACTTTTGCTGAATTGATAGTCCAGTTGCTGCGGAGAAAATTTGCTGCCACTTGAACAGAGAGAATACACAAACAGGTACAACAATGGCATGACCCCAAATTCTGAGTTAGACAAAATGGTAAACGGTCTTCTCCACGGAGGATGAAGAATCCCCATTTAGGTTGCTAGAGTCACTAGCTTTCAGGGCCCAAAGTCCATGGGGCCAAAGGGTCTTACGCCACTGGAGGAGGATCTGAGCAGGCATCCTGAACTCTCCAGGTGTTTCTCTCACTCTTTAACATGAGTGTCTGGCTCAGGATGCTGTAAAAGTCAACATCCATTCATCTGGATCCTGAGCCCCTACCTGTTTCCAATTCAGTGAAAAGCTCCCACTAGCCGTCTGTGTGTGGAAAGCAACCCCCACTGATGTGTGTGCTATTCTGACTCAGGAGAGAGCGGCTGGATGCAGTCTAGTGCTTCCGGCTTCCTTTTGGGTCAGCCTTCTTTTCAAGTCAACAGGGGTGTGTTCATCCCCAACACAGCATTCTCATTTTCTGAAAACCACCTGGGGAACTCAATCGTTGCCTGTGAGAAGGCTGGACACTGCTTTCTGGAAGTTTCTGAAAGCTGAGGGAAATTGGTGAGAGTATGTTGAATTGATTGCCTTAATTTATTTTTTAGTGTATACTTAACAAAATAAACCATTATTCCCTCGGTATTTTAAAGTCACCAAATCCTTCCTTCACCCTTCCGTTATCCTGTTCTATTTTCCTCCACAGTGATGACTGTTCAACACTCTCTAAGATTTTCCCATTTTTTATGCTTATCATCAGCTTCCCCAAACAGAATCCTCATTCTGTAAAGGCAAGGGGTATTTACTTTTGTTCACTGAAATATGTCCTGTGCCTATAACCATGCCTGCATATAACAGATGCTGGATAAACATCTTCTGAGTGAATGAATCAGCTCATGTGGTCACTGCAACCTCCCAAGGCAGGTATTTTTGTTTCTGTCATATCAAAGAGAAAAATCGAGGTTTCGAGAAGCTAAATTAATTTTGAGACTATGAAGGTAGCCTTCAAACTAAGATGCGGTTTACTTTAAATCAGCGGAGTTTTTTTTTTTCTTTAAAGTTAAATGAAAATAATTTGAATGCAGGAAACTTCTAGGGGGCAACTCATATAAGACGAAGGGGCCACCAGGATGCTAGAGGGGTGACACTGAGATGGAACAACTGTGCACAGACAATGTCAAATGATGTCCAGTGTCGACTGCCAGTTCTGGAAGAGGTGAGAAGGAAATGGATTACAGGTCTGGGAACAATAGGAGGCCTCAGAAAGGAGGTGATCCAGAAAACAGCTGGCCCCTGGAGACTGGGTGGAAGTCAGTACCACATGGAACCGATATGAACCTCTATAAGTTTTTCTATGTCTGAAAAGTTTCTGGACCCAAAGTTCAGCACCCTGGACCTACAGCCTCACATACATGAAATTCATAAATATTTACTAATCACCCACCAAGTGCCAGGGATATCTTCCAGTGCTGGGCACTCCAGGATAAGCCAGCATGGGGCCAGGTGGGGAACACAGGTCCATAAGTCAGTGATTAAAAAGGGGTGTGAGAAGCTCAAGGGGCAATGTCAGGACATCCAGCGCTGCCACTGGTAAATATTATTTCATTTGTTTATTTGATTCTACTTAGTATTTAGTTTTTAATTTGTTAGTGTGTTAATATTTTCAGCACACAATAGATGCTCAAATATTCAGTGGGATAAAATAGTGAATGAATAAATGAATGTATGAACAAGTGTGGAAGTGTGGGGTTCTCTGGACAAGGGAACGGAAGCTCAGAGCCGCCAGGTCAGTGACTCTGATCCTCCTGAGGACGGCAGAGGCAGGGATGAGGAACTAAAGCTCAGAGAACATAAGTAACCACGAGCAAGCACAGAACCAGGACGCTACCCCAACTCTAAGTGATCTCAGCCCCTGCAGGCTACCTTCAGTGCTCTTCATCTTCACAGCATCTGGCGGGCATGCCTTTGTTATCTTTGCTTTATTGATAAAGAAACTGAAAGCAGTCAGCCCCAAATCAAACTGGATCCAAACTCAGATTAACTAATAAGCAGGAGTCCAAGGAAGTGGAGGAGAGCAAGCACAGGCTATTTTTTTCAAGAACCTCGATGCAGAAGGAAGGCTCCCTGAACTTGGCCCATCCCCCAAGCTTGTTCTCATCACTTCACAGTGCAGTCAAGTCTGCATCATCTCCACCAGCCTCCAGACTCCTGCCCCAGCTCTGCAAGAGTTGGCCCCGGAAAGAGAGGCAGAGTCAAAATTTTATTAAGTGGCTTTTTAAATAACAATTCATAATTATTATGTATTTGTGCCACAAAATTTCTTTGCCTCCATTCCAGCAATGCCAATGGAATGGCATTCCATTCCATAATTAAGATTTTCCTATAACATGTACTTCATTGACAAAACGCCAAGTAAGACAAACTTTCTTGTATCTGTAGATCTTACACAGTTTTTAATTAACTTTAATTTGGAGAAGCTTCACGCTGCCGAGGCAGTAACAAGCAGAATTATCAGCAAAATCCTTAAGGTAATACTTAGATTTGGAAATGAATCCTGATTTTTTTCCCATTACCACATTCAAACACCCTAAGGGGCTACATATGATAAACTGTAACTGCAGGTGATGATATGAAATATTTTAACTTGATCATATAAATCACCACCACTCATAGTCATTTTCAGTATTTCTTACACAGTATCTAAATGGATGCAAAATATCTAAAGTTTTTCTTTCAACTCTTAATTTTGGCATATTATGAAGAAAACCCAGAACAGTAGTATGTTGTTTAACTTTGTTTCAATCTCTCGTCAAACAATACTATACCTCGATTTATAATAAACAGACATACAGCCTCCATAGAAATTATTAGTCTGAGGATTATTTGAACACAAATCTTCTTTGAGCCGGGAAAATATTTTTGTTTCCTTGTTTCAGTTTTCTTTTATTCTATTGGAATGTCATTTTTGCCACATATTTCACACACAATTTTGATTCTGTTTCTCTAAACTTTAAAAAATATTTTTTCGCCCTTTGAAAATAAAAATAGCCAAATTTAGGGTTTTTTTGAAATTAAGTTTTAATTAAGGTTAATGGAAACTGAAAGTGCACACTAAGTAACTGTTTAGCACAAATTCAAAATTTATTTCATTTTCTGTTGAATATGGCTTTGTAAATTTTCAGGATCGCCAGTTTCCCCCATAAGACGTGACAAAGACCAGGGGCAGGTGAAAATACCTTTGGAGTCAAAAGGAAAGATTCCCAGCTAGGTTACCACAGGTGGGTTTGGTGCCTGAAAGCACTGCAGCAGAGTGTTCCCTGAAGATCCATGATGCATGGGTATTCCTATACTAAATTTAAGGATGGAGAACTGAGGCTCAGGGACATAGAGCAACTGGCCAAAGTCTCCCTGCAGGTCTTACTGAGAAAATGCTCCCATTAAGGCCAAGGATGCCCACTTCCCGATACCCAGAACCTATGAACATTTATAGAAGCCTATAAACCATAGGGCCCAGCCCTACCTAGCCCTAAACCAAGGGTGACTATGTATTTATCAGGAACTGTGAATGGCTTTTTGCTCAGAGTGATACCACACTGCCATGAAGAGATCAGAACTCTGCTTCGCACTTGTTAAAGGTTCCTGGCCTGCCAGGTCCCTCAGCGGCTCGTCCCTCTTCTTCCTCACCACTGCCACCTGGAGCAGATCTGATTAGCCCCATTTTCAGACGAGACAGTTGCAGCTCTGAAAGGGGAAAGACTTGCCAAGAGTGTTACCTACCACACGCCACAGCCGAGACTGGCAGCAAGGGTCTCTGCCAGGCACTCTCCTTCCCACGTCTGACACCTGAAAGACCTCAAAAGCCAAAACAGATTCTTTTCTCCCCATCCCAGTTCCAAGGTCTGTGATGCCCACTGGGTTTTCCAAGGAGCTTTCTGCCCCAGGCACCTCTCCTCTGGGACACTTACGGTGGTCATTTTATATTTATTTTTGTGATTCCCTGAATAACAGCCGTCTTCCCCAGTGGCCATAAGCTTGGTGGAATCAGAGAACAAACCACTGGATTCCATGCTGGCTCCCCTGGTGTCAGCACAGAATCTGGCACACACTAGGTGCTACATGTATTTGCAGACTGAATCAACGGCTGCAGGACCAGGCTCCACCCTCCAACACTAAACTTCTCAAATGCCAGCTTCAACCAAGATGAGCTAGACCCCTCTCCATTCATTCCCACAAGCTATCTGGAAAGCCTGCTCCATCTCTCAGCCTGGGGAGCCGCACGGGCTCCTACCTGGGCCTGCTGGTCTTCCCCTGACCCTATGAAGGCAAAGCATTCTCCTTCCCCAAATAAACGCCCAGGGCAGAAGACCCGTCCCCCGGCGCTGAAAGCATCTTACTCCTTTCAACATCACTTTTCTGCTTTGAATTTTACTCATAACCAGGCACCCCGAGGCTTTAACAGCGGATGTTTTTCTCTCCTCCAGATTTAGAGGAAAAATACATTTGAGGTATTTTTAACTGAGAACACCCAGTCCCCACCCCCATCCCCAACACCCTCTCCCTAATCTGCTCAGACATCACATCTCTGCCCCAGAGACAGGCCCTGGGAGGCGGGAGAGGCTCAGGCCATAAATCCTCATCTGCAGCTGGTAATCCACATGGAGAGGAATGACAAATGCTCTATTTAGTCCTATTTCCAAGGAAATTAGAATTACAAATCAGAGCTATCGCTGAGACCCACTTCAGCATAACCTTTGGAAATAAAGGTGGGGAGGGGGTGGGGGGGATTGGCATTTGAGGAGCCCATTTCATTGTCAGGTTAGCTTTTATAGAAATCCACCCCCACAACGGAAATCGCCTCCCTTCTCCCCCAGCACCGCCAATTAGAGCAGGTGGCCTGATATTCAGTTTGCTTTGTTCCCTGCTAAAGGCACCACTAAACCAGGTAAGCAATCACTTCCAGGGAAAGTATAGAAAATTGCTTCTTTAATTGGGTAGATTCTAGAGCTAAGAATAATTTAATTGAAAAAACAGCATTAATGAGAATCAAAGGGATTTGAAAAGTAGGGGGACAGAGATGCCCACACGTCAGAGATGAGTGAGAGCCTGGCTTCTCAGAAGGCGTATGGAAAAGAGGCTTGGTCTGAAATCCATCACCATCACCCCACCACCACCTCCACTTCCACCAGCACCCTAAACCATGGAAGATCACTGAGGAAGATGGTTATCCTACTGTGTTTTGTTTTCTCAATTTTGCAACAAGTAGTGCTATATAAGAGAAGCAGTGTGGATTTACCCAGGGTGCTTTTAGGAGTTCTGGCTTCAGGTCCTGCTCCTGTCCCTGTTGGGACCCTAGTGGGGTCACCCAGCCCCTAAAGACTCCTCTCCCCACCAGTGTGTTCTCTCCATTTACTTAACAACTACTTTCATTGCTAAATGTCAGACAATATTCTCAGTTGAATATTTATAAATACCAAGTAGTTTAATCCTCAGAGCAAGCCAACGAGACAAGCCTGGTTTGTGGCCCCTTTCTTCAGATCACAAATCTGAAAAGCACAGAGAGGTTTGGTAACTCCTCCAAAGTGACACAGCTGGGTAAGCTCCAGAGCTGGGATTCGAATCCAGAGCCCCACCTTCTGATTATAACATGGAGGTGACACAGTGTTTCTCCCTTTAGTTTAGCCCAGCCTCCTTCCAGTGCTTTCTCATCTGTCTCCCGTGTTCTCCCTCCCGGACAGCGTGACTCAGTCCTACACTAAGCTCTGTTTCTGCACTCTGTACACGAACACTGGGAGTTCTGAGTACATGTCTTCATGCCACAACCAGGGTCACGTGTCCTGTCCCTGGTGGAGAGCCTCCACACCGAATATAACAGCATCATCGATATTATTGAGAACAACTCAGCATAGATTTGTAATAAACAGACAGCACTGTGTACAGCATCAGAGCAACGACTCTGCAGGCCTACAGTCTGGGTTTGAACTTGGGCAAGTCATGTCACTTCTCTTTCCCTTATTTGTAAAAATTTAAAAAAAGAGAGGGAGAAATAAAACCTGCTTCATAGGGTTGTGCAAACTGAGAGTTAAAAGAAGCAAGGCTGTGAAGAACGCCCCATGCTGAGCGTTAGACAAAGGCGAGGTACTGTCAGCACAATCGCTGTGGGGGAAACAGCTGACAGGACTTGGGGGACGGCAGACCCCAGCGGCCACGGGCCTGGTGGCACCAGACTCGGATCCGATCAGACGCGGGGTCTTGTTCACATCACTCAGCATCTCCAAGCCTATTTCTTTCATGTAAATGGAGAAAATAACAATTCCTGTCCATCTCATTGGGTTGTGAGGATTCAGTGAAACACCCTGCGTGGAAGTTGTTTGGAGATTACAAAGCCATCAAAAAGGCAACGACCTCTACTCTCAGAACAGATTAGTTGTTGAGAGACTAAGGGGCCTTGGGCTTCTGAGTAACAATGTGGGCTAAAACCTTCAGAATGTTTCAGATAACACTCTGGGTGCTCAGTCAACAGCCTCTTGTGATGCTCATGGCTCCACGCCCACTTTACAGACTGGGAAACCAAGGCTTGGGAAGGCGACGGGAGGAACCAGTGTCATAGGAAGTGGTGGGGGGCAGATTTAGGCCCTGGTCCCCAGTGCTCTTCATCGGGGCATGACCCTGTCACATTCGTGCCACTGTCACTTCACAGAGAAGGGAGGAGTTGGCTTTCCAGGTAGGAAGAAAAGAGCCAGGTCACAGGTTGGGGGGATGGGAGGCAGCCCCGAACAAAGGCAGGGAGCGGGGAAGAGCACGAGGTGGGGCGGGGCAGCTCTCTGGGGTGGGGGACCTGCCCTCCGCACCCCACCGCCCGTCATAGCCACCTGCCCATCTGCGTCCCCCAGGACTCTGAGCATTGTGGACGGGCACATACCACCTTCTGTGTCCACACACCCAGAACAGCGCTCACCATAAATGTTTTTGAGTGAAAATGACTGAATGTGATGCGTTAATTGGAACATAGTAGTTGTGTTAAAAAGAAATTAGAAAAAGGCCCTGACAAGCAGTAAGGCCCTGAAGGCACCTTCCTCAGTCCTCCAAACCAAATGAGCTAATTACTATGTGCCAGGCATTTCTCATACAGAGAATCCTATTTAACCCTTACAACGATCCCATTTTAGAGATGGGAAAACAGAGTCACAGAGTTTACCTACATGGCCCAAAGTCATACTATGAGTAAAAGCTTAATTTAATCCCAGGGCTCTCCTTTGAAGACCAGAACATGGCTGTTTTTCTGTATTCCCTCTCTGTCTGCCTGTAAAACATTCCGTGATTTTTCCAGTCAGGAAGTCAGCCTTCCACGTGCCTGCGGCCCAGGTACCCTGACAAGGGCCAGGCACGGAGCAGTGCTCCATGGGCATTCACAGAGCTGAGCTATACTTGACCACCTGTGTCTGTCCCAGTGCTCAGCTCTTAAAAGGACAGGAGCCTGAAAGAGACAAGCCAGGTTACTATTTTACTTTCAAAGCAAGAAAAGCACCAGATGACCTTCTGGTACATGTTTATTCCTAAAGGTTCTGTAGTGGCTTCCAAAACCCCATCTCAGCATCGACCTGCCCATCTTAAGGTCCTGTCAAGGCAACGCTTTCATGGTGGCCAACGAGATTAGTGCCCGATTAATAACTGAAGTGGGAAGTGCTGTACAAAACAGCTTGGCAACCGCCTCAGGCATGCACACAGGTGATCCTGGCCTCAGGAAACCCTGCCTGGAAACAGGCAGACCAGAGGGGCTGAACAGACAGAGCTTAGGAAACCCAGGTGTCCTTTGCCACTAGTAAGCCATGTGTCCTCAAGCACCCTCTCCCCTTTCTGGACTCAGATCCTTCATCCCAAAGGTCTCTTCCAGCTCCAGAATTCTACAGCTCTGAGACACCATTAAAGCCACGTGTCCACATGTCAGCAGAAATTCCCAGGTAACGTGAAATTACTGGCATTTAATTAACCCGTGGTTAGCTCCAGGTAATTTCCAGAGGATTTACTGCAACTCTAAAAGCTATTTTGCCAGGAAGCAATGTACCGTCCATACTGACAGGGCAAGAGGCACGTTCCCTATCTCCAAGCCATAAATCATCCAGGACTTCAAGAGGACGAAAACCACCAACAGCTTGCTACTGGGGGCTGCCTCCTAAAGAGAACTCAGGATTTATAGAAAGCTATTTTTTTAAAAAAGTAGGAGATGAAATTTAAAGCCAGAGGATGTGAGTGAATGGTGTGCGTGGGAGAATGTGTGTATGTATGTGGCCTCAAGGAATCAAAACAGAAAAGTCAGAGAGGAACGTCCACTCTATCTTATCACAAGGAATGTGTTTTTTGTCCAATTCCATTCAACACACATTCCCTGAGCCCTTCCCAAGGTCAGGCTGTCTGCCGGAGGGACTTGAGAGTGAGTCGGGGGGACCTGGCCCTGAACAAGCTTCTGCACGTGGTTCTCACTCTCTCCTGGGTGACACTGGGTCCACTTTGGAGACTGGCTAATGCTCAGTGTCCATCTCCACAAAACGAGAGCCAAAAACGACGTCACAGGAGTCTGAAGGCTTCATAGGGTAATGTATGCCAAAAAAAGATTTTGAAAAATTAGTGAAACCATGACTATAAGTAACTCTAATACAAACAGAATGAGCAGGAAGTGATCATAATAAAGATACTTTTTTAAAAAGATGTTACAAGTTTCTGGGAGAAGGATATGGAGAAGATACAGAAGTAGAAGAGAGAAGAGAGAAGGTGGAGAGGAGGAAGGATGACCAGGCGTTGGAGGAGCGTGAGGACAGGGGAGGTGACAAGAGACCAGGAGGGATGAGACTAAAGAAATAGAGCGGAGACAGCAGGAGAATAGAGAAGGAGAAAAAAGAACATAAACCATAAGGGATCTGAGCGAGAACAGGAAATCAATAAAAGTACCTAAAGTTGATTCATCAAAGGACAGCAGCACATGATAGAGAGATGTGGCGAGAAGCTGGGAGCTCTGAGAAGGGGTAGAAAGAGAAGGCTTTGCCTCCGGAGGTAGGGGTACGGACAGCACAGGATGGTGCAGGGCTGTGGCTTTCCATTTCAGACCTGCGGGTACCACTGGAGGTTTGAATTACATGCATGTCTTCCTTTGATAAAAATAAAACTAATTGAAAACCTTTTGAAGGGATAGGAGAGGGAGTGCACGCCAGACACTGCCCTCAGCAACTTCAAAACACCACGAACCCCGCAGGGCAAGCAAATCCTCCTTTTATTTTCCATTTAGCCGCACTTACTTCAAGCGGTTGTTGTCAGGATTCAAAGAGACAACGTAGGTGAAGCACCTGGAGAAGTGCCAAGTGGACCGTCAATGACTTCTGGTGAAATCCATCATCAAAGATCTTGACAAGCACACGTCCCTTTTCTTGGGAGCTTCTCTGTGCCCTGTTTTGCAGCAGCTGTCATGCTCCCTTGGTGACCCACATGCTCCCTGGCTAGGAAAGGGGATCCAAAAGTGGGCACCCGGGTTCCTAACTTGAGAACCAAAGATGCAAGGGCCGTCCCTCTCCAGGGGAGTAGAGGTGAAGCTGAGATGCTGTAGGTGACCACGGTTCCCAGCAGGCGGGGAGACTCTGCAGGGAGGAGTGCGGATGACAGCTCGTGTCTGGGCAGTCCTCCAGCCCCTCCCTGGCTCCAGGCGTTCTGGGCCCCAGGTAAAGCCCCCCTCCTCACTTGGTCCTTTTCTTGGTCTCTCTTGGGGTCCGTGAGCCAGCAAGCTCCCTGGGACTCCTTGGCCGGTTCAAATGGGGCTGCCTTCACTCGTCTCCAAAAGTGAGAAAATGATTCAAAAGCCAACAATATGTAGGTCTCTCCAGGGGAATCCAAAAACAACTCACTGTGCCCTGGGGCTCCCGATGTGGAAGGAGAAAGATGACAAAAAAAAAAAAAAGGAGGATGGACTCAGGAGATTCTGCATTTGGACATTTGGAATGCTGCTATTTTACAGCTAAGGAGGAACTCAGCAAAGCAGTCTCTGGTCACAGCGAGCAAACTATACTTTGCATTTCTATCGTTCCAACACACGATCTGTTGCCATTTGGATTTCATGGTCTAAAAATATCTTTCAAACTTCTAAGTATGTTGGCATGAGCTGGTGGACTCAAATTTTTAATCCATTTGCAAATGTTTTTACACAGCTCTTTTTTTCCTCTCAAATTCTATTTCTTGCTGAATCATTTCCATCATTCAGTTTGACATTTATTATGAGCAGGAAGGAAATAATCTTGTACACAAATGTCAACCTTGGCCCTGAAGGATGGGGAAGGCTTCAGAGAAACTATGAGAGAAAGAAGGGCCCCACTGGTTAGCAGGTGAAGTGTGTGGCCACCGGCACAGTGGGGCGAGTACAAGCTTTGGAGTTGGCATCTGGCTGTGTGACACTGAGCAAAATACTATACTTCTCTGAGCATGTTTTTCTTTTTTAATTATAGTGTGGGGATAACACAATTCAGTTTAGCAGAGATGCCCCAGAGATTTGACAGGTTACAATGCCATATGCATTCTGATCTCCAAGGCCAAGGAGAATTATAGCTGCCACCCTGGAACAGCTAAGGACCACACATATCCTGAAATCCCATCCCTTCTGCACCTACCAGCAAAGTCGTCCTTACAAAACACAAGTTTGATCATGCCATGCCCTGCTGGGCAACCCAGTGGCCTTGGGGACGACTAACATGTTTACTGTGGTCTAAACTGCCACATCCAATTCTCCACCCACACCACACCAGCCTCTCCAACCACCTGCCTTTCAAGCTGCAAGCAGGTATTTCCGCTCCACCTCACTTAGCTTTCCACTTCAGGCCCTGCAAAGTTGCCACGTCCTTCCCCTACCCACCTCCTTCCTCCACCTTTCCAGCCCCATCAACTCATGTTGGCAAAACGACTGCAGGTGCTCCAGACGTTACACCCTCACAGCACCCCACTACCCAGGAGAAGACACCTCTTCTGGTACTCTCTTCCAAATCCTCAGATCCACCGTCTCCTCCATTGGCTCTGATAGGGTGGTGTCCACTTTCCTGTATCCACCCCTGGGGCCAGAGGAGGCAGGCTGACTGGGTAATTCCAAACAGGGCCAACCTCTAAAGTTGGGCATGGAGTTACTCTTAACTAAACAACATGGTTAAGAATAGGGTGGGATAAAGTCCCCACAGGGAAATCACGGAATGGTGGGAGAAACAGGGACTTCACATGAGAGGCAGATCATCAGTGGGCAACGCCAATTCTCACTGGCGAAGCAGGCGCAGGGCCAGAATCACAGAAGGTTGGAGCCTGTGAAGGCCTTTAAGTTTTACAAATGGGAAAATTAACATGGGCTCAAGACTCACCCAAGTTTACTCCAGGGCCACCGCCAGGTGTCCAGACCCCCACCCCAATGTGCTTTCCACTGAATTACGACCGTGCCCCCCACCCCCAGGAAAATGTCTTCATTATTCAACCCATTTCATGCTCAGCCCTTCCAGCCACAGGCTTCACAATGGAAGGTGAGGGCTGGTTTACGAATATGAAGTCTGAGGACCACTGGGCTCAGAGGGGCCGCCTTCACAGCATCTCCCACAGGCAAAGGCCCATGAGGCGGGTGCGGAGCAGACGACAGGCTGTAAGCTGAAGAAGACAGAACTGGCAAGGTCTTTCTCCTTCAAGAGCAGCCTCACACCCCAACCTTCCCTCCATCCTTAATCACCTTCCTCTGGTCTCTGCCCCTCCGTGGGCGGCTGGAACAGGGAAGCAGGTGGAGGGAGAAAGGCAGAGTTGCATGGGGTATAAAGGGTGGAAGTTCTTTCAGAAAGGGATGGAATTCAACCCCTGCACAAGGCTGGACCAGAACAGGTCAATTCTCTTCGATCTGTGTGTTGGCATCTCCGGGCACAGACAAGCACTGACTTAAAACCTGGACTAGAATTCACACAACAGACTCTGGCTAAATTCTGCTCGTCGGCTGGGATGGTTGGAAGGACATGGGAGCAGAGCTGACCTGGCCCAGCTAAGCACAGAACCTTCACTGCAGGCTAAGTTCCTGGCGTGCTCACGGGGTCCCCCCGGCAGGCAGCCGCGTTCAGCTTTCCAACCGCCGCTCTCAATGGCCGTGCTTCAGATGTGGGGTTTGTCTGGAACTCAGCTTGGACGCCGCAAGGCCGAGGGGATTAGTTAACAGTGTTGGTTCAACACAGACCTCGTGCCCAGCATCACGCCTGGCACTGCCGATGAAAGGAAAACAAATCACGCGTGGCTCTTGCCTGCAGTGGAACCACGATCTGGTTGGGATGCTCATCACAAACCCTGCCAAGGCAGGAGGAATGGGGGTGCCAGATCCTTAGGAGCTCAAGGAGAAAGGCCCAGAAAAAAAAAGTGGGAGTGGAAGCATGGCTTGTACTCAGGTTCATGCAGGTTCCCGTCCAGCTGTGTGCCACTGGGCAAGTCACCTAACCTCTCTGAGCCTCCACTTTCTAACGTCCATCCCAGGTCATAGAGAAATTCAAATCATGAACTGTGGCCAGAATGCTATATAAATAACAGAAGCTTCTGTTTTACAATGCTTGCTATGTGTCAGTGCTGCTCCAAGTGCTTTCTCTAAGTTAACTCACTCTATTCTCTGAATTCTCTAAGGAAGGAAACGTGAGCATCCCCATTTTGCAGATGAAGAAATGGAGGCCCAGAGGAATCAGGGAACTTCCCAAAGTTATCCAGCTAGCAAGTGGTCATCTTAGTGCCCAGTACTCATCCAGTCCTTCCGCCCCACCCCTTGCCAAGGAGCAGTGGATAATTGGCACCACAGCAGCAGACACACACAGCTCTCGCTCTGTGCCCTGTGCGCTTCTCTGTGTTTACCTTTATTGACTCATGTAATCCTCACAGCCACACCCTGAGGTAAGTACCAATAATATCCCCACTTTACAGATGAGAAAAATTGAGGTCCAAAGAAGTCAAGTGTAATTTGCCTGAGGTCACACAGCTGAGGCTTAGACCCCGAAAGCCTGGCGAAGGCTCCCTGCACCCACACACCTTCCACATCTGAAGCACGAGCCAGGCTTTCAACCACACACGACCTCGCCATCCAGCCGAGGTGCCCAGGCCCTGGAACAGTGAGCTCAGATGCCTAGAGAGGGCCTGCGTCCCAGTAATATCCCAGTAAGAAGGGCACTGCTCTCCTGTTTCCAACGTCAGCACTTCCCAGCGCTATTTTTTTTTTCCTAGTTGGAGGCAACAAGGTCCCTGATTTAATTTGTTCCATGCAGTGACACTAATTAATGTTCCAAACTCTGGGACCTGGGGCCTGAGGGGTGTGTGTGTGAGTGTGTGTGTGTGTGTGTGTGTGTGTGTGCGCACGTGCACATGCATATAGGTGGTTTATATTTGGGTAACTTTCATTTTCCCCAACTTTTGAAATGACGTGTGCATTTTAACTGAGCCAAACAGTTTCAGCTCCAAAAGTAATTTAGGCTTCCTTGAAGTCACAAAAACACTGCACTAACCCCACAAGTGCAATAAATCCTCCAGCCTCCTACCTAGGTGTGTTTGTTCTGACTCATCACAGACGGTGTGAAAACGGGGAATCTGAGACCAAAGTATCAGCCACAAAGTCACAGCTTTGAGAGGCTAGTGGTTCTCAACTGAGGGTGCTACCACCTCCATCGGAACGTCTGGAAAAGCCTGGAAGTGGCTGGGTTATTCCAACCCTGGGGCTCTCAGAGCATCTTCTGGGCAGGGCTCACAATGCTAAAAAGCCTGCAAAACGTGTGACATTCCTGCCCAATGAGAAACAGTCCCATCTGTAATGCTAATAGCTTCTCCATCAATAAACCCTGTAAAGTATCCAACTATCTAATTTTTCAGAGAAGAAAAGGCACAGAGACGTGGGAGTTCCTTATCCTGGGTTGCACAGCAATTTCACAATTTAAAAGCCCTGACCTCTCCTACTACACTTCCGACTTCATCCTCTCACCACCCAGCTATCCAACCCCTCACAAAAGAGCCCCGAGAAGCAGCCGCTAGGAAATGCTCACACCTTACTCATCTGCTGCATTTTTCACTTCCAAGGCTTTGCCAAAGTTGTTCCTTCTGTCTTTGGCCTTAACCCTGACCCTGACACCACTGCATCCTTCTCTGCCTGGATCAAAAGGCTGCCTCCCCCAGGAAGCCTGCCAGAGTCCTATCTCAGAACCAGCCCACAGTAGTATGTCTGTATTTTGACTTCCAGCCCTGTGTGCCCACCTGCCTTTGTATGAGAGTCGTTTGTTACCATCAATAGCAAGGAGTCAGCTGTTTCATAGTCATGATGCCATTCTATGGTCAACAGCGGGCTGGCAGGGGAGGTCACAGTCTTTCGTTTTACCGATGAAGCACTGGAGGCTCAGGAAGGTTAAGCATTTAACCTTGGAGGTCAGCCATTCCTCCACCTTCTTCCTCCTAACGGAACCTCATTTTGTCTGGCAGGCAATGTGTCAGAAAGAGGATCAGGGTGGGTCTAAGTCAATCACGGTAGTCCTCCTGGCTTTCACTTCACTGGTCCAAGGTAGGGGAGCAGGTGACCCAAGTTTGGTCAATGGCACATAAGGGAAAACGTACTGCCCCCTCGTATGGTGCCCCAGGAAGCGGTCAGAAGAGGCTTGGCTCCACTGGCCCACCCAGATGATGGCACTGAAAGCTGATGTGATGCGAACACCGTTTGTTGGGGAAATCATAATTTCATAAGCATCACTTAATAAAATGAGGGCAGATGAAACAGAGAAAGCAAGATTAGACTTGAAACTAGATGACCTGGGTCCAAATCTCAGCTCTTAACTATGAGACACAGAAGACAGGATTTCATCTGCCTGAGGCAGAGTTTCCACGTCGATGTAATTGGTTGGAGGACTTTTTATAAATGCAAGGCCTCAGTTCACAAAATCCACCCATTAATCTTTTTAAAATAGACTTTATTTTTTAGAACAGTTTTTCATTTACAGAAAAACTGTGAGTGTAGTATGGTGAGTTCCCAAATAGCCTGCACTCAGTTTCCCCCGTTAGTGACATCTTAGACTAGTGCGCTACATCTGTTGTAACTAATGAACTGATACTGACACATTCTTATTGACTAAAGTCCATACTGTATTTAGACTTCCTTAGTTTGTACTCATTGTCCTTTCTCTGTTCCACGATCCCATCCAGGACCCCTTATCTCATTCGGCTGTCCCATTCCTCTAAGCCCTTCTCGGCTGTGACTGTTTCTCAATCTTTCCTTGTTCTCAGTGACCCTGGCAGTTTTGAGGCTTACTGATCAGGTACTTTGTAGCTAGACAAGTGCTTTCTCAGCATCTCTGCTCCTCAGGAAGCTGGAGTCAGGCAGCAGAATTCTTTTCTTTATAGCCCTCTTTTCCCCTTTCACTGTAAATTCCTTCCTTTCACCACAATAACAGTCAGAACTCACACCTGCTAACAGAACTTCATCATGTTCAGAGCCTAACTGTAAGGGAGAAATTATGATATTAACTTCAACATCACTCTCATTGGCTGACATCATTTGATCTCAGCAGGACTTTGAAAGAATGGAGAAGGATCAGCCATTTATCAGATCCTGACCATGAGCCAATATCAGGCTTTGGACTGTATTGCAGACACGTCACTAAATCTTCAGAATAACCACGGAAATAAGCACGCTCCATGTTACAGGGAGGAAACGGGTTTAGGCTGGTTAAGTGCTTCACCCAGGATTACTCAGCTAAAACACAGCATGGCCAGGACTCCAAGCCAGGTCTTATCTGTATCTATTTCTGCACACTTCCTGGGTCTGACATTGTGTGCATCTACCCAAGACTGAGTATCTGGTGGGCCAGCTGCTGCATGAGGCCCTGGACTGCAAAGAATGAAATGAATATCTGCACATATGAAAAGTCCAGCTAAAAAACAAGTCTTCAGCCTCTTTAAATAACTCAGGGTTCAGCCAATCTAGGGTCTGTGACTCCACTCTCTCTCGTACAAATTTCAGTACCTTTCTTTTCATGGGAGAATAAATCAGACTTCTGACTTCTAAATGTGTGACACAGTCATGGGCAGGGTTGTACATTAGAAAATGAAGGAAGAAATGGTCTTTAACCCTGTGTGTGATGAAATCTGTTTCTTGTTGATGGAAATTTGCCCTGATTCATTTAAATAATGTTGACAATTTTACTTGAGCCCCATCTTGGCTCAGTATATCCAGCTGTTAAAGTGAGTGTCACTTTTGCAATTTTTATTTATCTACTTGACCATGGACAGAAAGGGCAGAGATTAGTTTATCCATCCCTGTATCCCCTGTTCCTAGTCTAAGACCTGGCATCCTGAAATTTGTGTCTGCTGAACGATGGGTCAGAATACCTTGAGTTTGATGAGCAGATAGATATTTGGAGGCAAATGTGTTCAAACATAAAGGATTAAGATCTTCTTATAATATTTCTTCTCAGCCAGATGAAGAATTCAAGAAGAAATCTCAATATTCTTCTTCACATTTCGGAATCCTGAAGGTAGAAGTTAATTACTTTCCCAGGAAACCAGAAACAAGACAAACGGCAGAAATTACAGCACCACATCTCATAACCGAGATCCTGCCACTTTCTCAATGAAGGATGTGTCTGGAAGAGCAATTGGAATATCTATTTTAATCTTGTTTTGAAAATGCTAATGTTTCTCACATTATAAATTAGTAAGAGTCTTCATTCTTTGAAAGTACCACTCAGAATTATAGTGTCAGCAGGACTAAAGTTCTTCACGCTTATTTAAAACAACTCCCCTGTTTTATTCGGTGAGAATTACTAACATGCGAACACACCATAATTTCAACACGGATACGGCTCCTCTCCCCACAGGGTGATGCAGACCACGGCCTGGATTCGTGGTGCTTTGGAGAACTCTACAATCCTGCTCAGAGTAAGAGCTCAAAAAGCTTCACTACCACTAGATACCAGGCACTGAATCAACATATTTACAAACACTTTAAATTCACCTTTTTTCCCTGAATGACTTTCTTAAATGAAAAATTAATGAGGGGGAAGAAACACTACAGAAGTACCATGACCCTTAGGCCACAAGACTTCCTTTACTTAAGAACCACTGAGAAAAGAAACAAAAACACAGAAACATTTGTGAACCTCAAGTTCAAATATTTTCTTCACTTAAGAACTAGATGTGGGGAGGGTATAGCTCAAGTGGTAGAGCGCATGCTTAGCATGCACGAGGGCCTGGGTTCAATCTCCAGTACCTCCTCCGAGAACAAACAAATAAACCTAATTACCTCCCCCTACCAAAAAAAAGAATCCACC